TCCCTTAAGGATCTCTGGTAAGACTGGTCTGGCTGTAACAAATTCCCATTTGCTTGTCTGATAGAGGAATTTCATTTCTCCTTCACTTATGAAGCTTAATTTAGTGGAATACGAAATTCCTAACTGAAATTTCTTTTAAGGATACTGAAAATAGACCCCAAACCTCTTCCAGCCTCTAAGGTTTCTGCTCAGAGTTCCCCTGCCATCTTGATGGGATTCTCTTTGTAAATGACCTGACCCTTCTTTCTAACTGCCTATAAGATTTTTTTCTTTCACATTGACCTTGGGGATGGTTGTCTTACATAGTATCACCAGGGTTGTTCTGTATTTCTTGAATTTTCATGTCAGCCTCTTTAGTGCGATTGGGAAATTTTCAGACTATATCCTCATATATGTTTTCCAAGTTGTTTACTATCTCTCCTTCTCTCTCAGGAATGCCAGTAAGTTGTAGGTTTGGTCTCTTCAAATACACATCTATTTGTCAGAGGCTTTATTCACTTAAAAAAAAAATCCTGTTTTATTTATTTTTGCCTGACTGAGTTGTTTGGAAGAACTGGTCTTTGAGATCTGAGATTCTTTCCGTATCTTGGTCTAATATACTGTCAATGCTTCTGACTATATCACGAAATTCTTGTAAACGTTTCAATGTCAGGAAGTTCAGTTTGGTTCTTTCTTAAAATGACTGTTTCGTCTTTCAGGTCTTGTACCATTATACTGAATCCCTTAGATTTCTTGGGTTGGGTTTCAACTTTCTTTGAGTCTTGATGAGCTTCCTTGCCATCCAGATTTTGAATTTTATGCCTGTCATTTCAGCCATTTCAATCTGGCTACGAACTATTGCTGGGGAGCTAGTAGGCTCCCTGGAGGTATGAAGACACTCTGGCTTTTTGATTGTCAGAGTTCTTGCACTGGTTCTTAACTGAAAGAGCTTGTGTGTCTGTAACTGTGGCTTGAGTAGAGTATATCCAACTGGCTTCGTTTCTGGGTTATTTTAGAGGACCAAGACTCTGAATAGGATCTTTATTTGATTCTTGTCCTGGATTTCATAGGCAACATATGCTGGAAAAATATTTTTGGTCTTGCAATTTGGGATGGAACCCAATACATGGTGCTTAAAAGTAATAGCATACAGCCTCTTATTCAGCTACGCTGCCTTTGTATTTCAGTGAGTTCACAGTACTGGTCTATGTTGGGAAAGAAGAGGGATGACCCCTTCACCAAGTCTGCTCTTGGGCCTGAGGGGAGCCCCCACCAGTCCTGGGCCTGAGGAAAGCCCCCACCAATAACTAGCACTGTGCCCATGTCTCCTTTGTTAGGTATTCTGGGTCATGGGTCTTTCTTCCTTGGGCATAGGGCACAGCTGGGAGACAGGCCACTCCCTTCCCAGACCACCTGTTTTGGAAGGGATGCTCCACTTCTGCACTGGCCCCATGAACTCATCACCTTTCTCAGTGTTTTGAGAGTAAGGGCTCCTCCCTCACTCACATACCAGCTACAGATATCAGGTTAGCACTGCCAAGCTGCACGTTGCAGCCCTGGGGCATTGGGACCAGTCTGCAGCTCCATCCTCTGGCCCTTCAGGATCAGGTACCATCTGTGCTGGGGGATCCAAAGTGCTCCCAGACCACCAGTAAAGTATTCAGGCTGGGTCACCAGCAAATCACCCAGGCTGTGTAATGGGTGCTGTGCTGCATACATGATCCTGCAGGAGCAGCCAGGCAGGGACCTTGGGAAGGGCTGGCAGACCTAAAGAACAGACATGTTCCAGTCTCATGGGGAGGTCAACCCTGCTCTCTCTTGGCCCAGCAGTCAGCTTGGGTTAGAGCTACTTGGAAAAAGATGAAGAGCCTTTGGGCATGGACACCAATGGTGACATTCTGCTGTAGCTGTCCTATATGCAAAAGCTCCTGAGCTACATATACACAGGCTGCAGCTCTATCTCTGCCTACTTTCCAGGTAGATTCCCCTGCCCTCTGAGTTCAAATGTCCATGGAGATGGTGAGACTTCTTGTAGCTAGGATCCCACAGGTCAATGGCAAGAGTGGGCTGCCCTGCCATCCCTTCACTCTGCCCTTTTCTAAGAGCCGTTCAAAGCCGGAAACTAGCACTGGCACATGGTAACCACGCACAGAATTCCCAGCTTCCTTCCTCTTCAGTCTTGGTGTCTGCATTGCCTCTCTATGCAGTAAGAGAAACTCTTGTTTTCTCTTCAAAAATCTGGTTTACTGAATATTTTGGTTTCCCTAGGCAGGAAGTTAACTTCCTAGCTACCTCTAATTGGCCATCTTGTCTAATCATGTGATTTTTATCCTGCATTTCTTAAGGTATCACATTGACTAGCTTTCCATGTTGAAATATCCTTGCAACACAGTGATATATTTAACTTGGTCATAGTGTATGATCCTTTTAATGTGCTGTTAAATGTGGTTACCTAGTATATTACTGAGGATTTCTGCATCTATTTTTGTAGTCTTTGGTTTTGTTATTATGGTAAAGTCAGTCTTATAAAATGGGTTTGGAAGTATTTCATTCTCTTCAATTTTTCTGGAAGAGTTTTAAAGGATTGGCATTAATTCTTCTTTAAATGTTTGGTAGGATTCCCTAGTAAAGCTATCTGGTCCTCAACTTTTCTCTATTTTGGGAGGTGTTTGGATTACTGATTTAATCTCATTACTAGGTACAGGTCTGTTCATTTTTTTTTTATTTTTTCATGACTCAATTTTGGCAGATTTTATGTTTCTAGAAAATCATCTATTTCTTCTAGGTTATCCAATTTGTTGGCATATAAATTTTCATAGTAGTCTCTTATGATTTGTATTTCTGTGGCATCAGCTATAAAGTACTCTCATTTCTGATTTAATTCTTCTCATTTTCTTCTTAGTCTAAGTAAAAGTCTGCCAGTTCTATGTATCTTTTCAAAAAAAAATAACTGAGTTTCACTGATTATTTTCTCTATTGTTATTATTCTCTATTCCATTTACTTCTGTTTTGATCGTTATTATTTTCGCCCTACTTCTCATTTTGGGTTCAGTTTGTTCTTCTTTTTCCAGTTCCTTGAGGTGTAAACTTGTTTGGGATCTTTCTGCTTCTTAAATATATATACTTTTTGCTATAAATCTCCCTGTTAAAACTGCTTTTGCCACACCACATACGTTTGGTATGCTGTATTTTCACTTCCGTCTCAAGATATTTTCTAATTTCCTTTTTGACTTCCTCTTTGGCTCACTGATTGTTTAAGAGTTTACTGTTTAATATCCACACATTTCGAAATTTTACTATTTTCCTCCTGCTATTGACTTCTAGTTTGATTTTACTGAAGTCAGAAAAGATACTAGCTATCTTAAATTTATTCACTTGTTTTGTGACCTAACAAGCTATCTATGCTGGAGAATGTTCCATGTGCACTTGAGAAAAACGTATACTCTGCTCTAGCTGGGTAGAATATTCTGTTAGGTTCATTTGGTCTACAGTGTTGTTCAAGTTTTCCGTTTCCGTACTGATCTCTGTCTGGACCGTCTCCCCCATTACCGGAAGTGGTGAAATGAAATCTCCTACTATAACTGTGTTGCTATTTCTCCCTTCACTTCTGAAATGTCTGCTTCATGGATTAAGCGCTCTGATGTTAGCAGCATACATAATTGTTATATTTTCTTGGTGAATTAACCCTTTCATCATTATATGATATCCCAAAACTGCCTGTTGTGACAGTTTTTGACTTAAAGTCTCTTTTGTCTGATGGAAGTATGGCCACTTCTCTTCTTTCGGTTACCATTTGCAAGAAATATCTTTCTTCATTCCTTCACTTTGACTTAGCCTCTGTGTGTCCTTAAATCTAAAGTGAGTTTTTGTAGAAAGCATATAGTTGTATCTTGTTTTTTTTAATGCACTCAACTACTCTATGATTTTTTTAGTAGGGAATTTAGTTCATTTATAATAATACTAGTTATTGATTAGAAAGGTCTTACGATTGCCATTTAATTCATTGTTTTCTATCTGTCTTGTGACACTTAATTCCCTATTTTCTTCTCTTGCTATCTTCCTTTGTGTTTCATTTTTTTGTAATGACCTGCTTTGATTCCCTTCTCATTTTCTTTTTTTTTTTTTTTGAGACGGAGTCTTGCTCTGTCACCCAGGCTGGAGTGCAGTGGCGCGATCTCGGCTCACTACAAGCTCCGCCTCCTGGGTTCACGCCATTCTCTTGCCTCAGCCTCCCGAGTAGCTGGGACTACAGGTGCCCGCTACCACGCCCGGCTAATTTTTTTGTATTTTTAGTAGAGACGGGGTTTCACCGTGTTAGCCAGGATGGTCTTGATCTCCTGACCTTGTGATCCGCCCATCTCCGCCTCCCAAAGTGCTGGGATTACACGCTTGAGCCACCGCGCCCGGCCTCATTTTCTTTTGTGTATCTTTTATAGGTTATTTTCTTTGTGGTTACCATGGGGTTTACATAAAGTACCTAATATTTATAGCAATCTATTTTAACCTGACAATTTAACTTTAATTACATACAAAAACTCTACACTTTTACTTCTACCCCACACACTTTATGTTACTGATTTCATACTTTTCATCTTTTTATACTATGTATCCATTAACATATTTCTAGAGTCATAGCTCCTTTTATATATTTGCCTTTCAACTTCTATACCAGAATTAAAAGTGATTTATGCATCAGTGTTACAGAATTGCAGTATTCTGCATTTGTTTATATATTTACCTTTACCAGTGAATTTTATACTTGGTTTATACACGGTTTCACGTTGCTGTTTGGCATCCTTTGCTTCATTCTTTTTCCTTACTGTTTTTAACTAGACTCTAGAATCTAAAGATCATGTTTATTTTACAAATTAAACTAGCCAAAGAATATGCATCAGTGTTGTTTGGCAATTATAGGTCCAAACTGAGCTTCTATTCTAGGACTTAGGGTACAGATGGAACTGTGTTCTTAAATCAATAATGCATTTCTACTCTATAAAAATTCCACCAGTTTTAATACCTACCAGTTCCTTTGCTTAGATATGGGGGCTTAAAGAACTTCACAACACCGTAGACATTGACAATTGTACCACCCTTAAGTTGATTCAGGGGTGTATATATATAATTTGTTGCTGGAACCTAAAGAAGGAGAAGACAGTGAATACATTTATAGTAAGTATTTACATTGTAGAATCATGTTATAATCATATTAGCAGCAAATCCATATAACTGTATTTTATCCTTTTAAGTGTCTAAAAGAAGCTGTAACCTGAAAAAAAGGCAATGAACACAGCTTAGCTTATCCAACTAGTTTCCCTTAGAACTTTGTTTATAAATGGTACAATTTGCACACTAGCTCATAAAGGCATAACCTATAATCTAATTAAAACATTATACTTCTCCAATACAAAAGTAGCAAACAGTATATACATACAGTCCCTGACTTATGATGGTTCAACTTATAATCTTCTGACTTTAGAATGGGTCTAGTAGGCTGTTTAATGCATTTTGTATTTATAACATTTATGACTTATGATGGGTTTACTGGATGTAACCTCACTGTAAATCAAGGAGCATCTGTAGTGAAATATCAGAAATACTTATCAAAACTGAAGCAATAACAGAAAACAAGAAATACTTTTTTAAAATATGTACATCTTCAATGTAAAAGGTCTAAGAAAAGAGAGTTTTATTAAAGGTAAATGACTAGGCATGAGATATTTTTAGAAGCCCTGAAAAGGTAACCAGAATACTAGTCTTAACAATACAAGTTACATCTCTTGTAAGTTTAGAAAACTTTTTTTTTAAGGACACTCTCAAGGAATCTTTAAGTAATTAAATCATCCTAGCTGTCTTTAAGTTAGTACATCCCCAGCTTATTTGGTCAAGAAACTGTAGCTGGGGGACAAGAAATCAAATTGTTAACAGAGAGCAAATTCTAAAAAATGCAATTTAAGAGATTTTGGTTCTATTTTTTAACTAATATCACTTCAAAACTTGTGGTACAATTTCTCTCTTCCCTTTACCCCCATGCTATTATAGAGATTTTCCACAGGCCTAGATTTTGACTCATAATTCAAGCCAGGTTTTGAGTCATAAATGGTATAAAAAGATTTAAAATGATAATAATGAAACTGTACCCCAAAGAATTAAAACTAATAATGCCTAAATTCTCGGGCTTACAGTATAGTAGATAAGAAATGAAAACTTACTGAAAAGTTGAAATCAGCAACTAACAAAAATTCTTGAGTTTGCAGAGTACCAGATAAGAAACAACTCGCTGAGATACTACTGAAACTCCTACTGATTATTGAGAGCAATAACAAACTATCTGAAATCAGTTGAGATCAAGATGGCTGACTGGAATTTGAGAACGAGCTTGCTGACATCACAGTATGAATTTCCATCACATTCATCATACTAACTCCACCTGAATTTGCGCATGCAACCCATGCATTAATGTGAAGAAATAACTGTGCATGCCCAAGGACTTTCCAAACCTCCCCTTTCGTCCTACGAATGACTTACTAATCCGAGTATCTACTCTCTAAAACTCTTCTAATAAAATCACTGACTTAAAGACAGCACAGGGAGACATATTTGAGCTCAGCTCGTGTCTCCTTAGGTGCTGACTGACTTTCAGCTTTTCTTTTCTCAAAAATTCGATTTCACAGTATTGGCTTATAGCACATCAGGTAGAGTGAGCTCCTTTTGCTCTATAATAATGAGAGCGAAAGATTATTTTTTGAAGTAACTGTGAATAAGTTGGGAAAGAAAAGGGAAAGTGGTTTACAAGGATATGTTTGCATATTAACAGTAATACTAAAAAAAAGCCTTAAAGGGCTTTAGATAGGTGTCCCCAACATCAAATGGAAAAAAGGACACCTATCACTCTAAGAGTTAAAATTTTTAAACTCAAATTAATTAGTTTTTCCAAGGAGGCTTCTCAGTTCAAACAAAAGAGTAGAATTTGCTAATCTAATCAAACTCCAACATAAAAGCTAGCTAACTCATCAATGATTAAAAAAAGAATGACAGAATAATGGAATGGAAAGAGAAATAATGGAAGAGAAGCATACTGAACAGTAGGGAGAAAACATGTGCTTAGCGTACACTCAATACTCTATCTTAACATCTCATGGAGAGATGAATGGGAAAGGCCAGCAAAACTCAATGACACTAACCATTACAATCAACTAAGTAACTGCCATTTGTTAATTCATTACCAATAAACAACTTCTTGTTTGGCTTTCCACGTAAATCGGCAAGTATTTATGTGTACGACAGCTAAGATATAATCCTCATTATAAATTCATAAATTGATATTTTTGCTTAATAATTCTCTAATGAGTTAGGTTAATATTCTTACAAGTTTGGTTAACGTACCCTTGAGTAAGCTCACACTTGAACAAGGTAATTAAATTTACATGATTCCCAAAAAGCCCTATCTTAGTAGGGAATTGGTCTCCCTTGCTGACACAATAAATTATTGTATTCCATAAAAAAGGACTGTAGAGGGACATCCAAATCAGTTTGAACAAATGTGTTAGCTAGAGAAATAGTGGAGTTAGCTTAGGAGAATGGTAAGCAAAGGCTTTCTGAAGGTGGCAACAAAATCTAAATTTTGAAGGACAAGTAACAAGGAGAAGTGATAGCACATACTAGCATCATGTAATCAGAGGTCTGAAAATAGATTCACACTGCTGGTGCAAAAGGCACAGGGCTAATATCTAAAACAACAGGCATATAATATTTATGGCATCCTAACAACTCCTAGGTTAATAAAACTATTTAGTACTTACGAAAATACTTGTTGAGGTTTTTTTATTGCTCACTAAATAATCTAGAACAGCACTATCCAAGAGAATCTTCTGTGATAATGAAAATATTCTATATCAATATTGTGGCTATTCAGGAATTTAAATGACTAGTGCAAATCATGAACTGAATTTTTAATAGCCACACACAGCTAATTGCTCAGTATTGCACAGCACAGGCACATGTCCATGAGAAAACCATCGGCTCATGACATACTAAAGATAACCTGATGGCATTATCATTAAGTACATCACTTGATCCACAGTTCACACAAACATGAACAATTTTTTTTTTGGATAGCTTAAGTGGCAGCCCATTATAGAATCAATCAGTCAAGAAAATGTGAGCACTGGGTTAAATGAGATGCAATTCACAGCATAGGCAGAAAGTTAACTAGTGGACAAAAATCAAGCACAGCAGACAATAAAAGCCTAAAGAGAGAAAGACACCTAGCAGCATAATTCAACTCATTCATTCCTTTATATTCTGTTGTCCTTTCATTCATTCATTGATGGGCCATTTATTATACAGGGCAATAAAAATAAGTGTGAACGAAACACAAATAGCCCCTGCACCAATGGAAGAACAAACCATAAAAGCAGGGAGATGTCTTAGAGTTGTCTTAGAAGGTCTCTTTGAAAAGATATTTAAAGAAAGAACTAATTAAATGAAGTACAGAAGTTGGGAATGAGATAAGCAACAGTGTTCCAAGCAGAGAAAACACATTCAGTATGTTTGAAAATCCAGGAGGTTTGGATGGCTGGAGTGTACTGGTCAAAGGTAATGACAAGACTAGGTTGAATAAAAATACAGGGGATAGTTTATGTTGGGCCTTCAGATTCCACATAAGTGGGCTAATAAAGCTTTTAAATCCTGAAGACAGTACAAGATCAAATGATTACCCTGAGTCACTTGAAAAGCAAACTTTCTACCACTGAAAAACAAAATACTTTATTTTCTAAATTCTGAAAACACCCTGGCCCTCACAGACTACACATTTAATACTATATCCTCGAAAAAAATACACTTTTTTAGGAAAACAAGAAACTCAAAAACAGTAACTGTCAGTTTTCTCGATAATCAACTGCAAGATGCATGCTCTGTTTTAAAATGTGGAAATGTGCCAAATGAGCATCTTTTTATGAGTCAGGAAAATAAAGTCAAATAGATCTATGCCTGATTTAACTTATTGTTCAGAGGCTTTTACTATTCCTGCCTTATTTACAGGTTCACAAATATATCAAATATTTTAAATTAAACAATCTATAACAATTTTGGGAAATACTAATAACAGAGCTAATTCACATTTTTTAAAAAGTACATCAGTTCTTTTACTGGTAACAGTCCCCCCCCAAAAATATTAATTATACTAATACTCAGAATTTAGTATCTGTATTCTATAGTCATTGTCAAGTAGAAACAGTTCCTGAATTCTGTCCATTTGAAACTAAAGGTTCAAAAACATAAGTAGAACATAAACATTATATTAAACTATACTAATAAATTATTAATATCTTCTTTCCAGTTTCACTCAGCTACAAGTAGACTACTGTAAAAATGGGAATGGGAATCTTCCTATTGCTATGAGGAAGCTCTAGCTATACCTATGCTTTAAAATAACGGGAAAAATGGGTAAAAAAAGAGAAATGTATCGTAAGAAAATAACTTAAAATTATATAATTTGTTCAATTATATAATTCAGCACAAAATTGTCTGGTTAAATACAAGCTAATGTAAAAAGAAATGAATTTGCCTATGGTTTAAAACAAAAATTTAAGGATCCTCATACAGTAAAAACTTACTTTATTTTTCTTGTGTATGTATAGCTTAAACAAAATATCAGCAGATATTATTCCAGACAACAGAATATTCAGATATTGATTACTAGGTAAAATATATCACTCCGATAAAACATTATCAGCTATAAAAAAGATTATGTTTTTCCAGTGTACTGATACTATATCAACATCAGACTACAAAGTGGACTGAATATACATATACATGTATCTATGTATGTGTGGTATATATGGGTATAGGTGTAATATTCTAAATTAAACTGAATATCATCTTACCAAAGACATTGATTCTGTAGAAAAATCTCTTACAGATTTGACATAAACCTGAAGGAAAAAAAGAAAGAACTTATATACAAAGAACTTGTACACAGATAACCTCCAATGTGATTACAGGCTTTTAGTTTTAGTAAAAGTACACACTTACTCGTAAAATATTCAAATTCACTAGGATGACATAAAGTTATGGCTTACAAATTAAGAGTGAAATGTGCAAAGTTGTCTAAGCTACAGAAACTTAAAAAAAAGGCAAAGATGTAAGGTCAAATGAAAATGTACTTTATTAAAATATTAGTGTTCTTACAGATTAAATTTGAAGCACAGCAATATTCAGTTCTCAAGATAGAATGTAAAATAATGCAAACTTCTGTCAGTCCAATAGAAGTGGAAAATCAGAGCTGATATTCAAAATTTTTCCTGCATAGAACCCTAGACGTTTTCAGAAAGAAAACAAAAAAAAATAAGGAAGTGCTTCAGTGATCACTTTAACTGCAAATTTTACCCACCTCCAGCCTAATTCATTAACTTTAATATCAAGCACAGCCACCGCCAGCACTTATAGTACCTTTGTGCGTACTAGAAAAAAAGAGGCAGATGTTGGCCTGCAGGCACTTGGCTTAGCCCAATTCTACCTAGTAATTGTTTAGCCCAATTCTACCTAGAAAATTTTTCTTATTACTGAAGATTTTATATCTCTCTAAAATGTTTTGACTAAAAAGGCAGTTTTCAAGTGTGTGTGTGGAAAGTAGGGCGTTAAAAGAGGAAAGGAGAGGAAGGCCATCTTCACAACGAATAAAATAGAAGGAAAAAATCAGTTTTACCTAAAGAGGGGTAGGTGATTAATTTAAAGGGAAATCAGGTAGAGCAAAGTGCCTGATAGTATAATTACAAAGAATAATATCCAGTCTAGAATGTTTGTACAGTTTTGTAAGTTTCATTATTATTTATTATTTCACTAAGTATTAATAAGTATTAATAAGTACTTATTTATTAATAAGTAATTATGGAAGTATTATAAAGGAATTCCCTTTTCTATCTAGTCATTTTAAACATAAAACCAAGAAAAAACTTCTATTTTTTAAACTTAAAATATTCAATTAAAATAATTTAGTCAGACCAAGTAGTTTATCTGCAGATTAACAGAAATACTTTCAGTTCCATCACTGTAGCTCATTAAATCTGCAATATAATTAGAGAATAAAAACTACATACTTACATAAACAGTTGATTTGAGGTCTTCAAATGCTTTCAAAAATATGCAAGGTTTATCATCTTTGCCTATAGATGAAGAAGCTAAAAAAACAATAAATCTAGCCACTGCAATGGTGTCCTACACAGGAAAAAGAAAGTTTTTGAATCAATCACCAAAATATCTACAATTTGGAACGTCATATAAATCCTTATTTATATTACTATCTTTAGAACAAAAATTACTTCTATAAAGTAGAAAACTGGTTAACCCAAACTTGTGTAACACTTACTGAATACATGATTTAGACTATCACTTCCTCTAAAACATCTTCAACATCTACAGCTACAATATAGCCACAGATGGCTATAATGTCCCACTTCATGGGACCAGGAAAATGCTAAATTACTAAGAAAGTTTTATGTAGTGAAACTTAGATGTTCCAATAGTATCAAGGATGGAATTTAAATGAAACTAAATCTCAAAGTTGAGAAACTACATTGAGAAAGGCATAACAGTGCAAAAACTTCACATATTACAAAACTAATACATGTGCATACAAATACAGGGCATAGATAAAATAAGATACCTCCATTTATAGACTAGTAAGAACAAAGATAGCTTCTTACTACTTAGGTTTGTAACAGCAGTAAGAAGCCATTCTCCATTTATCCCTTCCTCTCTCATTCTTCAAATTTCCTTTTCTTATTTTCCAAATACTAAAACAGAAATACTCAAAGGGTTTTGCCTTGCTGCATATATATTTTTTGTTGTCTTACTCCCTTAATTTTAACACCAATACCTTAAGATACACCAAAATGCCTGGGCTTTTGGTCATCTTCCTTCAATAATTTTAAACTCTATCAAGTGGAAGTCTTCTGCATTACCAGTTTGCTTTGCACATACAAGGGCCTAGTGTCAATTCCCACAATCCTCTATTCAGACTTAATAATTGGACTGAGAGCATATTGTAGATAGCGGTCATTTCTAATTCTGCTCTGTATTTACAGGAGTTGGCACAAAGCAGGCCCTCCCAAAACAAACTGTCTATGAACCAAAGGAAAGACCTTATGTTGCCTTTTCTAAAAATCTCTTGCCCTAACCAGGTATTGTAGCTCTGCAAACTCCTGCCTTTTTTTCTTCACATGAGATTGCAAACATAACTGTGTGTATGTTGATGATGCCAAATTACCACAACTCTTCATAGTTAAGTGGGAGAAAATTTTTCTTCTTACTGAAGATTTTACATCTCTCTAAAATGTTTTATGTAGTTTAAAAAATAAAATGAACACGCTTCTGGAATAAAAATAACAAATGAGTTACTTTTTTTCAGTTTTACAAACTGAAAAATACACTCTACTTTCAAGTGACCTCAAACCAATACATTCTGATTAAATGAAAACTTAAGATTTTAGTCAAAGATTTAAAGTTGTTTATCAAACTAACATAGAAGATAAATAGAAGTAGGGAAGCCAACAGTTTATCAGTTCTAAATTATCCAAGCAGAAAAAAACCTACCTCTTGTTATTCAGTGTTCCACTTAAAAATGTTTTCAAAAGTAAATATTATACACCAAATGCAAATGTTGGAGTACAGATGACCATTTTCTATTTTCCTGCAGAATCTAAACTTTTTAAAAAGACTGAGTATGTATTTCTTTTATCATGAAAAAAAATTTTGAAAAGAATAAATGACTAAAAGCTGGACATCAGCATTCATAAGAAAAATGTTTCTGAAGTTAACAGTAGCTACACACAATTCAGTAAAAAGTTACAACCCTTCCTCTGGCATATATTCAACAGCATAGAAACAATAATCACAGCTTTTTTAAAAAAATTAAAATGTGTTTATTATATTCGTAAATGTGGATTTATATTTGAATATACATATAAAAACTGCACTGAAGGCCCTCAGTGATCTCATTCCAACCAACTATTCCTGTTTTATTTCTACATACTTCCCATTCAATATCAGACAAATTAGATCCTCTTAAAAGTATAGTGCTTTTCCACATATATTCTTTACATACTTTGAGCCACTGCTACAAATAAAAAACATGTTTCCCATTTGTACATATCTAACCTTACCCATATTTCAAAGTTTAGCCTTCTTCCTGGTAGAATCTATGACTGATTCTCTCTCAAAAACAAGTAATTCTACCTTCCTCTAAACTCTCCTACATAGCATTTTAGCATTTTTCTCTTTGTGTGTTATTTACAAACTTTTCTTAACGCCTTTAAAGCCCTTAAAGTCCTGTAAGTTCCTTGGACTAAAAATAATGGAGATCATTCCAAGATGGCCGAATAGGAACAGCTCCAGTCTACAGCTCCCAGCGTGAGTCATGCAGAAGACAGGTGATTTCTGCATTTCCAACTGAGGTACTGGGTTCATCTCACTAGGACTTGTTGGACAGTGGTTGCGGCCCACAGAGTGTGAGGTGAAGCAGGCATGGCCTCACTGGGGAAGCACAGGGGTGGGGGAATTCCCTTTCCTGGCCAAGGGAAGCCATGAAACTTGGTACCTGGAAAATCGGGACACTCCTGACATAATACTGTGCTTTTCCAACGGTCTTAGCAAACGGCACACTAGGGGATTATATCCCATGACTGGCTCATCAGGTCCCAAGCCCATAGAGTCTTGCTCACTGCTAGCACAGCAGATCAAACTGCGAGACTGCAGCGAGGCTCGGGGAGGGGCGTCCACCATTGCTGAGGCTTGACTAAGGCTTGACTAGGTAAACAAAGCGGCTGGGAAGCTTGAACTGGGTGGAGCCCACTGCAGTTCAACCAGGCCTGCCTGCCTCTGTAGATTCCACCTCTGGTGGCAGGGCATAGCTGAATAAAAGGCAGCAGGAACTTCTGCAGACTTAAACGTCCCTGTCTGACAGCTTTGAAGAGAGCAGTGGTTTTCCCAGTATGGAGTTTGAGATCTGAGAATGGACAGATTGCCTCCTCGGGTGGGTCCCTGACCCCCGAGTAGCCTAACTGGGAGACACCTCGCAGTAGGGGCTGACTGACACCTCATACAGCTGGGTGCCCCTCTGAGACGAGCTTCCAGAGGAAGGCTCAGGCGGCAACATTTGCTCTTCTGAAATATTTGCTGTTCTGCAGCCTCTGCTGGTGATACCCAGGCAAACAGGGTCTGGAGTGGATCTCCAGCAAACTCCAACAGACCTGCAGCTGAGGGTCCTGACTGTAAGAAGGAAAACTAACAAACAGAAAGGAATAGCATCAACATCAACAAAAAGGACCTTCACACCAAAACCCCATCTGTAGGTCGCCATTATCAAAGACCAAACGTAGATAAAACCTCAAAGATGCGGAGAAACCAGAGCAGAAAAGCTGAAAATTCTAAAAATCAGAGCACCTCTTCTCCTCCAAAGGATCGCAGCTTCTCGCCAGTGATGGAACAAAGCTAGATAGAGAATGACTTTGACAAGTTGGCAGAAGTAGGCTTCAAAAGATCAGTAATAAAAAACTTCTCCAAGTTAAAGGCGGATGTTTGAACCCATCGCAAATAAGCTAAAAGCCTTGAAAAAAGATTAGACAAATGGCTAACTAGAATAAACAGTGTAGAGAAGAACTTAAATGACCTGATGGAGTTGAAAACAATGGCACAAGAACTACGTGATGCATGCACAAGCTTCAGTAGTCAATTGGATCAAGTGGAAAAAAGGGTATCAGTGACTGAAGATCAAATGAATGAAATGAAGTGAGAAGAGAAGTTTAGAGAAAAAAGAGTTTAAAAAAAAAAATGAACAAAGCCTCCAAAAAATATGGGACTATGTGAAAAGACCAAATCTACATTTGATTGGTGTACCTGAAAGTGATGGGGAGAATAGAACCAAACTGGAAAACACTCTCCAGGATATTATCCAGGAGAACTTCCCCAACCTAGCAAGGCAGGCCAACATTCAAATTCAGGAAATATAAAGAATGCCACAAAGGTACTCTTTGAGAAGAGCAACCGCAAGACACATAATTGTCAGATTCACCAAGGTTGAAATGAAGGAAAAAATGTTAATGGCAGCCAGAAAAAAAGGTCAGGTTACCCACAAAGGGAAGTCGATCAGATTAATAGCGGATCTCTCAGCAGAAACTCTACAAGCCAGAAGAGAGTGGGGTTTAATATTCAACATTCTTAAAGAAAAGCATTTTCAACCCAGAATTTCATATCCAGCCAAACTAAGCTTCTTAAGTGAAAGAGAAATAAAATCCTTTACAGACAAGCAAATGCTGAGAGATTTCAATACCACCAGGCCTGCTTTACAAGAGGTCCTGGAGGAAACACTAAACATGGAAAGGAACAACCGGTACCAGCCACAGCAAAAACATTCCAAATTGTAAAGTCCATCGATGCTAGGAAGAAACTGCATCAACTAACGAGCAAAATAACCAGCTAACATCATAACGGCAGGATCAAATTCACACATAACAATATTAACCTTAAATGTAAATGGGATAAATGCCTCAAGGCAAACTGGATAAACTGTCAAGATCCCTCAGTGTGCTGTGTTCAGGAGACCCATCTCATGTGCAGAGACACACATAGGCTCAAAATAAAGGGATGGAGGAAGATCTACCAAGCAAATAGAAAATAAAAAAAAAAAAGCAGGGTTGCAATCCTAGTCTCTCACAAAACAGGCTTTAAACCAACAAAGATCAAGAGAGACAAAGAAGGCCATTACATAATGGTAAAGGGATCAATTCAACAAGAAGAGCTAACTATCCTAAATATATATGCACCGAATACAAGAGCACCCAGATTCATAAACCAAGCTCTTAGAGCCCTACAAAGGGACTTAGACTCCCACACAATAATAATGGGAGACTTTAATACCCCACTGTCAACATTAGACAGATCAATGAGACAGAAAGTTAACAACAACATCCAGGACTTGAACTCAGCTCTGCACCAAGTGGACTTAATAGACATCTACGGAACTCTCCACCCCAAATCAACAGAATATACATTCAATATCCCTGACGAACATCAATGCGAAAATCCTCAATAAAATACTGGCAAACCGAATCAAGCAGCACATCAAAAAGCTTATCCAACACAATCAAGTTGGCTTCATCCCTGGGATGCAAGGCTGGTTCAACAGACACAAATCAATAAATGTAATCCATCATATAAAC